AACTATGACGGTCTGCATAAAGCATGCCGCTCTATAACTTAATGGCTTATTATCAGCCTCGACATTGATGTACCTGTGTTATAAAAAATCGTGCTATATAAATAATGGGGCCTATGGGAGAAGCAGGGTTAGGTGCACAAAAGACACATAACAATTACATTTTCCAAAATTCTTCCTCATCTGTGTAGCTTCATTCTTATAGCTGCAGTTATAATGACAGTTTATCAGACGGGTGATGCTGCAAAGAGGCAATACTTTCACGAATCTGACCTTGTATTTGCAATGAAGTGACAGCTGGGCTTTAAGTAGAGTTCTGCCACTGGAAATGCGAGCAATGGCCAGTACTGTATGATATGCAAGCATGATCCAAAAGAGGTGAGCAGTGCAAAATTGTGTGAGATAGAGCTCATAGCCAGCAACCCTCCATGAAACTCCCCTGAAATTGATACATCGACTGTTTTTAGTAAAATTCCAGCCTTCATTTACGTGCTGATCTGACCTGACATTCCATCGGCACAGACTCCTGGATAGATTTTCAGACAAGTGAAGCAGAGGAATTTGACCTTTCTTTCGTATAAACCCATCGGCATTGAAGTTAATTGTAGGATTAAAATGCCTTGTTAGTGTGAGTAACATTGTATTTGAAATAGTGCTGGAAAAGAGCAGGTTGTAACACAGACGACTTTTGTATAAATGATTTGCATGAGCAAGTTCAAAAATTCTTACAAATTAAATATGTAACAAAATCTAGGCAAAAATACTATACACAAAGGTATCTGTTTTAACAGCAGTCATATTATTTTAAACTATGCTTCATTTTTTTTACTTCTACCATAAATTTAGCATTGGAGCCCATTCTTCTATTTAAATGAGCTGCATTTTTTTAAAATAATGCTGATGCATTTAATGTGTTCAGTATAAACTCTTCAAACTAAGACTTCACATATTTTCCTAATAGTACGGTTGTTCTCTGTGTGATATTATATTTGAGGTTTATGACCTGCGATTCCATTGAGAATGAATTGTGTTGTAGCCAATTTGTGTTTTACAAATTTAGTTCCCCTATTCGTCAATCATGTTATAGCCAATTCACGTTGCCAGAACACGCATTATAGGAGAATGCTCTGCTCTGTATTTGTATGTAATTGCTAGTTGTATTGAGGAATCCAAGATCTTTAGTAGCATAACGTCTGTGGCTGGTTTCTTGCATATCAAAGGACAACATAAGTGTTGCTGCATCAGGTAAAATCCCCTGCTGGAGGAAAAACTCACATCAAGGAATGCTGCTGTCTGAGCCATGATGTCTGTCAACTGACTGTCTGTGCAGCATCCTGCTTCTAAAAGTTTTCAATTCTTATCCCTTTTCTTTGCAGGCAGAGATTAAAGGGCTTTCTATCACGTGGATAACGGTATTGTTCTGATCAGAAAAGCTAACCAATTATTTCTTTGGTCTTTGGGGGTAAAATAGCATGTATCCAGTAAGTTAATCATTGGAGATTCTTTTTTTAAGTCATAGAAATAGACTGAAACAAAAGCAAAATACTGCAATTTTAAAAAGAAAACTCAAAATTCTGAAGGCATTTCACAGGTTAAGCATCTTCTATAGAGCCAGAAGCAAATTGGATTTTGTGGGCAATGATAAAGTAAAAACACTTGCCATCATTTTACTCACAGCTGCCTACAAAGATTTGACAGGCTTTTAATTGTGGAGACATTCTGTCATTGGGCATCCGTTCCAGTTGACTTCCTCTGCAGGAAATCTGGCACAGGAACATAAAAAAAGGGAGCAGAAGTGGGTCATTTCGCCCCTCATGTTAAATGATGGGGCAGACGAGATTTTTTTTAAAATTATGGCTTATCTGGCCCAGACCCTAACTCCACTTTTGTGCTAGTTCAGCATAGCTGTCAACTCCCTGATATTTTAAAAGTCTACAAATGACCTCCTTAAATACACACAGCGATCTAGTGTCGACAAATCTCTGGGGTAGAAAATTCCAGACATTCTCTACACTCTGCACCACTCAACTTCAAGTCATTAGTGTAGACATAAATAATTGACGCCCTAAGACCAGTCCTTGTCGCACTTCACAGGTTATATCTTTCCAACCTGAAAAAGACCCATTAATTCCAACACTGTATATGTGGGTTAATGAATCCTTAATCCATATTAATGACATTACCCTAATAGGTAAGCTTCTGTGTTATGAAATAACCTTATCACATGCATTCTGAAAATCCAAATACACCACATCCACCTGTTCCCCTTTATCAAATTGGCTTGTTATATCCTTAAAGAACACTAACAAATTTGTCAAATGTGATTTGCCTTTCACAAAACCGTATTGGCTCTTTTTTGTTTTGTGTTAAGCTTTTCTTAATGCTCTGCCATTTCTTCCTTAATAATGGACTCTAGCATTTTCCCAACAATGTTATGCTACTCTTTATAAAAAGCAAAATACTGCAATGCTGGAAATCTGAAATAAAAATGAAGTGTGAGAGAAATTTCAGCGGGTTTGTGGAGAAAGAAGCAGTTCATGTTTTGAGTCCAGTGTAACTCTTCCTTGGAACTGATGTTAGATATTAGGCTACTGGCCTATAGTTCTCTACCTTCTGTCTCTCTCCCTTCTTGAGTTAGTATGTTGCATTAGTGGTTTTCCCATCTTTTGAAATCCTTGGTGAATTCTGAAATGTTTTATTCAGTTCCTGCACGATCTATTGCAGCCACTTCATTTGTAACCTTTGGATGCAGGCCATCAGGTGCTGGCAGCTTGTCTGCATTTAAATCTGTTGGTTTGTCAAATACTTTGTTCCTTCTGAAAAAGACTGTTATGCGATCTTTCCTGTCATTAGCACCTTGCTCCTCTGTTATCTTTGGAATGCACCGGTGGTCATTTGTCAAATTTCTGTTAACTGTGGAATCCCACACTTTTACAAAAAAGGAGATAGTAAACAGTTATAAACCTAGAGATAGTAGGATCTGCAGATGCTGGAGAATCCGAGACAACAAGGTGCAGGGCTGGATGAACACAGCAGGCCAAGCAGCATCATAGGAGCAGAAAGGCTGACGTTTCGGGCCTAGACCCTTCATCAGAAAAGGGGGAGGGGAAGGGGG